CCAAATAAATTGATTCTTTTTTCTACAAATGGTGCTGACTTTAAAGTAAATCGAGTTTCCTGGCTGCCCTTACCTTTGATAAATTGAACTAACCTAAATCCTGAACCCCAAAGTCTAGTGCATTATATTTGCTGAGTAATAAAATGTTTGACTCTCGCAGCCAGAGGTAGACCAGGTTCCCACAGAATCCAATTTTTATAAAAGTTTGTTAATGGGAAGTAGAAAGAATTGGTAGTGCTTCATTTTAAGTGCACTTAAAATGCACTTAAAATGCAGGCCCATGTAGGCTATTTAGGAACAAAATTCAGGGGTTCCCAAAATTTCTGCATCTGTTTTTTTTCAGCAGCATTGATAATTGGCTCATGTAAAAGCAGACAGTATGGGGAAACACATAACCACGTTAAATCCCATGATTCTTCTAAAAAGAATAAAGTATACTTCTCATTGAAGTAGTGAAGGACATTGTTTTGCTTTTTCCCATTGCTTGTGATGATCAAAACACTTAGGCAGTATCAGAGGTTTTCTGTTATCCCTGTTCTCCTGCTTAACAAAAATCGACTGTTAATGACATCAAAATCAATAATAAATGGAAAAAATAATAAGCTAGCCATGCGTATCACAAAAGATGTCATAGAGGAACAATCTCCATAAATAATCTTGTTCGGAACAGCCATTTGCCCTGAGTGACAAGGGGTTCCCTTCCTCTGCACGCAGCCAAACCGCTCACACTGCTCAGCAATGAATAAGAGAGCGCTTAGAGTGGAAGTGCTGCTTGCGGGCCAACCTTTCAGTAGCCATGAGCAGCGATGGGAAAAGAGCTCTGCAAAATCAGATGAATTCCTGACCAAAGCAAAAAGGCTTAAGGTTACTGGAAGCGTTCTTCTGAGGATTTTTCCAGCTGCATCAGGTCTTTCATTCACCCCCTGTTCAGTGGGCCTAATGTGCCATCTGCTGTTTGAATTCTAAATTATAACAGTTCACACAGGGAGCTGTCATTCTGCAGCATTTAAACAGGCTGAAAAAGTGCGGTTTGGGCTTTATTTTGTTAAACTTTGGAAAGAGCAGTTTATGTAAACACCAGCAAAGAAATTAAAATTTCACCGTTGTTAATACTGCTCAGACGCTGCTAACACTTGGGTTAATCCACGGAAAACTAGTCTTGCACTGTGGACCAAAATACGATGATCTGCTAGCTCCACCTGCTGGCTTGCTTGGCCTGACAATTTCTTGGTCTTCCCTTGACAGTTTTTTTCCCCAGGAAGCACTAGAAAGTTATTGGAAGGACACGTTTTATGCCTTTTCTAGGTTTTCATCCCACTAAGTGCAATTCTGCGAAAGCTCAGCACGTTTAGCTTTCTAAATCTTGATTTACACAAAGCACGCTTGGCGTCGATACGGAGTGGATGGGATACGGACTGCAAACAACGTGTGCACGTGCCTTCCAGTCTGGCGTGACCCTGCGAGACTCACCGGCGTTATTCGCCGAAAGTGGTTTAAGCACTTGCCAGACCGCACGGGCAGCACACCTGCTGGGAAGCCAACCTTCTGCAGATGTTCCTTCCCAACACAACCTGTGTCTGCGCAGTGCGGAGTTGACGTTACTCACCGCAGCACTGCCAGCACCAAGGGGACAAGGCCATCGCCGTGCTCTTCATTAAAGTGCCTTCTTGGATGATACACAAAGGCCAGGAAAATTTTTGTCTTAATCGCGGAACTGTTGAGACCGGTACCGAAATGTAAGCCTTTCCACCAGAGCACGGTCTGGAACCTGGGAGATGATCCACCAGAAACATTCCCTACAGGCGAGTGCCACCTGGTGGAACGTCGGGAAGATTCTCCACGCCAAAAAAAGCTGTTTTAAGGTGGTCAGGACGTTTTCAAATCCGAAATTTTTTTTACATCAGAAAGGAACAGCAAAATATAACCACAAAGGTGGCCCCTGCAGCTGGGTGGATGCGTCCTTGGTGGGCACTGCTGCTGCCTCCCTCTGGTCCCTGCCGATTTATGCACGGCACCGATTAGGCTGACGGACTAGGAATATTTAATTTTTAATTAATATCTTTGCAAGCATAACTACTTCAAATCTAACATAAGTTCAAAACTAAATTACAAAAATGCCTTCCTTTCCATTCCACGTTTTATATACCATATGTCTAGACGTTTAAACTTGCAATTCCCTAAACATTCAACATGCAGACAACTGCTAGGTCTGTGCCATACGCAACAGAAAATCAACAGCGTGCGTGAACCGTACCTTTGCTGGCAGTTTTCTGTCCTAGGAAAAGCTGACGGAGTTGGGTACATGCTACCAGATCTCAGTCGTAACGGTGGAGACTGGCACACACCTCCGACCCTCGAGCCAAAAGCCGGGCCTGTGTGGTGACCGGGTGGATGTTCCCGCTCCTGACGTGTGGACGGGCGGCAGCCGCAGCCGCTCAAGGCCGAGACTCGGCTCAAAAAGCCCGACATTCCCTGCTGCACACGAAGGAACAGCCCTCATCCCAGGCCCAGTCCCGGTTCTGCTCATCACTGCGTGGGACAACTGCACTTTTGTGGAGTGAGTAACTGGAAGATTGGGTTCACCTTCTCGTACGTTTTTTGCGCAATTTCAAAAGAAGTGTGTTTCTAAACTCGTGCCGCTTACAGAACACCATGGGAAATAAATGTATTATCGGAACTTGGCAGGCAATCGGGCTGCGCAGTTGACACAGAAGCGCGGCTCCAAGTTTGTCTGACATGGTCTGAACCAGGGAGAAAACCCTTTGGTTCAGATTTAGTGGCGCAAACGGGACACTCCATCCCCAGAGAACAGCAGACACATAAAGCTTTGGAAATGTTCACCCTGTCACGACGACGCTGTCTTTCGCGCTGTCTTTCACTGCTCCCGTTTTCAGCCAGCGTGAAACTGGGTGTCGAAGGACGCCGAGGCGCCTTCGCTCCGTTTGGAAGCCCGGGAGCCGTCCCCGACAGGTAACGCTGCCCCGTTCCCACCCCCTCACCTGCCCTCCGAAAAGGCCTCGGCAAGGGGAGCCGGCAGCGCGGCCAGGG